TTATCAAATAATTCTTCAAGTCAGTCTTCAGTCAATTCTTCAAGTGTAATTCAGTTTGTTATTTATATAAGGTTTTCTGCGATGTGTTACAAAAAAATTATTACGGTGAAATACATCATTAAATGCGGGTGGGGGGCGTACGCGTTGGTACTTACAACGAGGCTATTACTGTGTTACCTATACTAGTAAGACCGATTAAAAAATGCGATCGAGGGCAAGCTACGTTTACGAACGCCATTAAGGACAAAGTAAACACTAAACACCATCAGGGCCAGTGGCGCAACGGATAACGCGTCTGACTACGGATCAGAAGATTCCAGGTTCGAATCCTGGCTGGCTCGTTGTGTTTTGTAGGAGGATCTCATATTATACAATACGGGTTGAGAACGCACGCACACGCACAGCACGTTTATTGCAGCCAAAAATAACTCCGGATCACGTCTATTCAAAATCATTCACCGAAAAAAGGGCTAACGCTCTATTAGGGGTGTTTCCAACTTTGATATCATTAATGATTAATGATTGATGATTGATAATCCTAACCCTAACCCTAACCCCAACTCTAACCTAAATGACATTAAACCACAAACTAATATATGACCATGACCATATATATATATATATATATATATATATATATATATGTTATTATGACCATTAATGACATTAAAGTTGTGAACACTCCTAATGGAGTATCACCCGAAAAAGTATGATTATCAGAATGAATTGCTTATTATGTATTGCCGTATTCTACGACAGAGAATCCCACTCCGTTGCATGTAATCAAATACAACCAAACAATCGCACGCGAATAGCAGTCTGCTATAAAGCATCGAGGTTGCTATGCAACATCGAGTAATTGCGTTGAAGAACGCCGGTGGCTATGTGGGTTGCTTTTGAATATCTGCAAGAGTAGATAATAACAACTATATTATTGTTATTATCTACTCTATATATCTGCTAATATTTACGACAAAATTAACATCTACTGATATAATAAAGCAAGGGAGCAGATTATTGGTATATTTACTGTAATCGATTATGCACCAATATAAGTAAAGAAATTTAGTAGATCAATGCGTCTCTCGAATAAATCTAAAAATAAAATCATGTAGACAACTTGGGCCGTACCTATTAGGGGACACATTACTGAATAATCCAGCATGAAACTTCTTTTCTGCGAGTTTGTGCTGTTATAGAAACAGAAAATTATTATGAAACAGTAAATTAGCAGCAATGTTGCGCTTATATTCTTGAGATACGCAATTTAAATGAAATTGGAAAATGGCGTCAGAAATACAAGTAATTGTTCTAAATTGTTCTAGACTTGTACGCACCAGTGGTACGCACCTTATCCGATTGTACCAGCCAATTTCATCTCGTAAGATGCGAGGATCACTTGCTATTGATGTTGGCATAAGTGATTTATTATTATTTGTTGGCATAAGTGATGAAACACATTGTAAGTACTTTGAAATGCGGATCGGTGCATCTATTATGTGTTAATGAAAATAATGAGTGTTCTAAGACATATTAGCTTTATTGTGTACATTTGGTATTACGCAAGGAGTACCGGTAAGTGTCAAAACGTCGATGAAATATGAGGACGGCGAGGGAAAAACACGAGACTTCATTACTCTAAAGACGATATGAAAAACGGGAAAACCGTGTAATACATCATCAGGGCCAGTGGCGCAACGGATAACGCGTCTGACTACGGATCAGAAGATTCCAGGTTCGAATCCTGGCTGGCTCGTTTTGTTTTTCACGACTATATCACGTTAATTTGTAAGCTGTCAAAGATATAGGTGGATGTAATATCTAAAACGTTTCAAATTCACAGTGAAAAGCGCCAGTTAGAGACCATCTAAACGTCATACATATTCAGGGCCAGTGGCGCAACGGATAACGCGTCTGACTACGGATCAGAAGATTCCAGGTTCGAATCCTGGCTGGCTCATTTTGTTTTCAGGACTATATCACGTTAATTTGTAAGCTGTCAATGATAGGTGGATGTAATATCTAAACCGTTTCAAATTCACACTGAAAAGCGCTAGTTAGAGACCATCTAAACGTCATACATATTCAGGGCCAGTGGCGCAACGGATAAC